GGGCGATCGGCGTCATGTAAAAGGCAATAAGATGTTCGTTTGTGTGTTTTTGAAGAGGAGCAGATAAACCGAGTCGGCCCATCTGCTTGCCTTGCTGTGTGGCCTGGGGTAACTTCCTACCCTCTCTGGGTGACCCGGGGTCGTCTGCCTCGGCGGCTCTGGGGTGTTAGACAGGACCATGTCACACGCGTCCCTGACGACTGGTGTCGGGTAAGCTGTCTGCGCGTGGCAGCTGCCATCATTATTATTACTATTATTATTACTGTTGTTGTTGTTATTAACCTGTAGCTTCTCACTCCACCCTCGGCTCCCAGCTCGGTGACCCGGATGGGGGCGCTCTGAGGTTTCCCCGGCCTGGGCCGCAGGGTCTGGGGCCTCTGCTGCCGTGGGGGGCTGGTCGGCGCGCACGGAGCGGGGATGTGCACAGGATTAATTCTGCGCCCAGCTGTCCCCAGCGCCACAGTTAACGGCAGAGGGGACCTTTGGCCGGGGCAGAGGAGTTAGGGGGTCCCCAGCTGGGGGCTTTATCCAACTGGTCCAAACAAGGGGATCACCCCAAACTACTGACAGAAAGGGGTCCTGGAGTGGGGGGAAACTGAGCCCCCCAGTCGTAGTCAAAGGCGCATCGCCGCCAGCTGGTGCTGCGTGAGTTCGAATATGTCGTCACCTCTCTTTGTGCCTCAGTTTCCCCATCTGGAAAATGGAGACAATAGTCACGTGTGCCTCATGGAGGAGTTTTGAAGGTTAAATGAGTCACTGGGATGAAGATGAAGCTTGCAGCCCAACATAATCAAAGGAATGACTCACTAAGTATTAATTATTGGAATGTACCGTTTCGCACGGAGTGGCTCGTCAGCCCTCCCGGTCTCAGCCCCTCGCCCGCCTGGGGCCGCCCCTCGCGTCTCCGGCTTGCGTGGCCTCCCTTGCACGTGGCACAGCCTGACATTGTCCTCCCGGTTTATTTGCTCGCTGGGTCCCTGCCTGTCGCTCCCCCATTGGGACATCACTGCCACGAGGGCAGGGATCTTTGTCCCTCTTGGTCACCGCTGTGTCCCCCGGGCATGTGACACCTCAGCAATCAATCCGCTGAGGGATCGAAGGAAAGAAGTCAACGGCGGCGCAGTTCTGTTCCAGCCTATGGGTGAGGAGGTGAGGCTCAGAGACGTCAAGGCACTGGCCCGAGGACACACAGCCCGAAGTCGGCCGACTTGCAGTAAACGGCCGGAGAGTACACATTTTAGACCTGGAGGTCACTTATGGTTTCTGTCACATATTCTTTCTCCTCTTACGATCCTTTAAAAATATACGAGACCCTTTTATTCATTATCGCCTCCCCCGAAAGAGCCTTTTTAGACCTTTTTTTTTTTTTACCAACCCCATCCATGGCGGATTTAATCAGATGGTGCCCGGAAGCTCTTGACACAGGAAATCTCGGCAAAGGAAAGCCACCGGCCTGGGCGCTGGGGCACCGGGGGCCCTGGACGCCAGCCCGCCTCTAGGCCTCATCCGCTCCGGGCACATCTGCCCAGACCCACGGAAGGTCCATTTTAGGCCCGGACGTCTAAACAGACGGGACGAGGAGGAGTTATCAGTGCTCTGTTTGTTTCTGATTCTTCATCGAAACGTCCAGAGCAGCTCAGCTCAATAGATCTCCGCCCAATTCGGTCGCCGCCGGCCGCGTGGAGGGTTGAAAGGTGACCCGTGCCTCGGAAGTCTTGAAAATTTAATTTAATTTCAGCGTAGCTAATTTAAATTTAAAGCCACAGGTGGCTGGTGGCTCCCATACTGGAAGCTACCAGAAGCCACTAGAAGGTGGGGGTTTTAGGTGCCAGTGACAGGCAAGGGGTCAGGAGTGGGTGAGAAATAGTTCAGAGTTTTAGAGATGATTAAAAATCAGATGGCATAATGAAAAGGAGGGAGATCCTGACACCTGCTCCAGCGTGGATGGACCCCGAGGACGTGACGCTCAGTGACATGAGCCAGACACAGAAGGACAGACACTGTGTGATCCCCTCACAGGAGGCCCCTAGAGGAGTCACATCCACAGAGACAGAAAGTGGATGGTGGGGCCAGGGGCTGGGGGAGGGGAGGGGAGTCAGTGTCTCATGGGGACAGAGTCTCAGCTTGGGGAGATGGAAAGTTCTGGAAGGAGTGGTGATGGTTACACAACAGTGTGTGTGTTTCATGCCGCTGAGCTGTGCCCTTAAAAATGGTTAAAACGGTAAATTTTATGTTATGTCTATTTAACCACAATCTAAGAATTAAATTTAAAAAAAATTATGAGATGGCATAGAATGACAGCGTCATGGTATTTAGAATTTATTCTATATTTTTATTCTATTTATATTATTTAGAATTTAGAATACACTTATTTAAGTGACAGAAAAAGAGTACCAGGATTCTAGAAAAAGAAGAGAACGTCTGCTGTCCGATAAGGGGCCCCTGGAAGCCCCCGGCTGGCATCACGCTTGGCTCGAGCTCCCCCTCCGATGGGCAGCGAGCCGAGGGCAGCGCCCTCTCCAGGTGGGGTCAGCGGGGTTCTGGAAGACCCGGCCGGCGCAGGAAGGCGAGAACTGCAAATCCGAGGCCTGCGGATTGGAAAGGAAGAAATAAAACCGTCCCTGTTTGCAAATGACGCGATGGTCGGCAGAAAAAATCCCAAGGAATCTCCAAAAAAAAAAAGAAAGCTCTTAGAACTCATCGGCGAGTTGCGCCGGGTGCGGGAGGCGAGGCGAACACACAGAAGCCAGTCGCGTTTCTCAGTGCCACCGAAGAACCAACTAGAAACCGAAATGCAAAGCACGACGTGGGTTACCGTCGCCCGCACACCTGCCGCGCGTCGGACCCCAGTTTGGCGCCAGCCCTCCCTCGGACGCCTGGGGGGTGGGTTTCTCATCTTCCCATCTTACAGATGAGGAAACTGAGGCCCAGAGAGGTCGTGTGGCCGGCCGGAGGTCACAGAGTCAATGATCGGTGAGATACAGGCTGCGGACTAGAGCCCGCCCGTTGTCGCCTTTCCTGGCGCAGAGTACCAGCCCCCAAGCCAGAAACAACAGCGACGAGATTAATAATAGTAACGACGCGCCCCTCTGATTGGTGACGTGCTGACGACGTGCCAGCCACGTTTGGGGGCATTTTATTGCATTCGTGGTCGCCTTTTCCTGCGTTAACAGCCCCCAGGGGAGGTGCTGTGGTTGTGCCCATTTCGCAGACGGGGAGAGTGAGGCACAGAGAGGGCGGGCGAGGGGTCTGGGGCGCACAGCCCTGGGTTCCCACGCAGGAGCACCAGGCCGCCACCCTCCCTGCCCGGGGACGCGCCGAGTGCCAGCCGGGCTCCGCTGCCCGTGTGGGCGCCCGTGCCCGCGGAGGGTCCTGTGCCCGGGGCCTGGAGCCCGGCGGCTGGCTGCCCGGGCTGGGCCTTTCCCAACAGCGGGGCCGCCCGTGCCCGGCCGCCGGGCCGTCCAAGCGGGACTGGCCGCCTCCGAGGGGCCGCTGGCTGCCCAGAGAGCGGCCGCAGGGCACGGGGCCCAGTCGGGCACTGTCCCCTCGGCCACTGCCCAGTCAGCACGGCTGGGGCCGCAGAGCCTGGGCGGCGAGGGGCTGCCCCCATCCACTGCTGTGGCAGGTTGGGAAACTGAGGCACAGACCCTTGCACAGCCCCGCTCCTGTGCTGCTCATGGTGTCCTCAATCGTGGCGGCCAGAGGGTGTGCACCCACTATGTGCAAAGCACTAGCACGGTGCAGGAAGCATCCTCCTCGTTATTATTATTCCCACAACAACCCCGACGGCTCTGAAGCCCTGAGAGGGGAAGTGACCTCCCTCCCCAGGCCACACAGCCTCTGAGGCTGCAGAGCTGGCCGGGGAGCTCAGAGGCCGGACGGCTCCCGCGCGCCCAGATGAATAAAATAACCCTCCTGATTTTCCTCGTTCCAACCCTCGCTGTTCCCCGTCTGTAAAATGGGTACATAACCCTCCCAGATCCACGGCTCCCTTGTTCAGTTATAGATCTCGTGTCTGTTGGGGACAATAAAGCCCCACGTGTGTGGTTATCTTAGGGATTTAAAATAACAACAATAATAGTAAGGTGATGGACATTACCCTGTATCGAGATCTCCGGATCTCCTATCTCCCTGTCACCTCCTGACACCCCGGGCAGGCCTGGGCGATGCTCGCGCCCATTTGAAAGAGGGGAAAACCGAGGCCCAGAACAGTTAAGCGACTTGCCTGAGGTCACACAGCATTACGTCCCGGCTTTGGGGTGTGGCGGGAGGGAGGGTTTATCTGATGGGGATTCCCGCCACCTCTGGCCTGAGAGAGCAGTGGGTGGGGCTGGGTCTGTCCTGCGGGCTCGGCCATGGGCCCTCCCCGCCCTGGGGGGTGCGGGGGCTGCCGAGGGAGCTGGCGGGACTCGCCCCCGCCCAGGCGGCCCCGATCCCGCCCAGTCAGCGTCTGTCTGCTGCCGGCTGCCAAGGAGCCTGAGTATTTTTAGATAAGATGGGGGGGCGGGCGCCGGGTGTGGGAGCCCCCAGGCGGGTGGGTGGGCGGGCGGGGTGCTGCCGCTGCAGAGGGGGCCCTGAGCGGCACCCCGAGACGACGGGCTGGGCCCCCAGGACCTCGAGGGCAGAAGCCGAGGGGAGGGGCCCAAGGGGTCCAGGACTCCTCTCTCTGGCCCTCAGTTTCCCCATCTGTAAAGTGGGCGTCATGACACCCGCCACCCCTGGGTCAAGGCAGGATCCAGCGTCATCCGCATTTCACAGACGGGGAAACTGAGGCTCAGAACTCACGGTTCTCCCCGCATCCCAGCATGTAGGAACGCTGGCGCCCCGGGGACCTGCAGGGGTCCAGTCAGACCTCCAGACCCTCTGGGGCAGCGGTGGACGGAGGGGGCGAGCAGAGACCCGGGGCCTTGGCGTGTTCGGGGACCGCCGTCTCCACGGTGCAGTGTCTCCTGGGTTGAGGGTCCCTGCGGGTCACCAACCCTCCCTCCCTCTCTTTGCAGACGCGGAGCAGAGCGGCAGTCCCCGGGCGGGGATGGGCTCCGACCAGGAGGACAGCAAGCCCATCACGCTGGGTGAGTCTGGGCGCAGCGGCGGGCGGGGGGCACGGCCCCGTCCCCTTCCTCTATTTAGGAATCGTGCTCTGAGCCCCCCTCCTGTGTGCTTTTCGTGGCCCTGTGTGAGCAGGACCCTCACAGTGTTAACAGATTCCTTCCTCACGGCCGTGCTGCGGGGTGGGCGCTGCTGTGTTTCCATTCTGCAGAAGAGGAAACTGAGGTTCAGAGAGCACCCAGAGAGCTGGGGTTGGAACCCACAACTCTGAGCTCCCAGTGTCTGGGCTCAGAGGGGCTCACCCCGCGGGAGGGGCCGCAGAGGGCCCCGCAGTCCCCGGGACAATGAGCAGATGGGCGGGACAGGATGGTTCTGTGGGGGGGAAGTGGGAGAATGATAATCGCCCACCTGGACCAGCGGAGTCGCCTCCACCCTGGCCCCCGGCTTCCGCCCTCGCCCCCACAGCCTGTCCTCCCCAAAGTGGCCAGAGGGCGCCTGTGAGCCCGTGTCAGGTCCCCCTCCTCTGCCCACAGCCCTCCAGGGCTCCCCCTCCCTCAGGGGAGAAGCCCAAGTCCTCCCTGTGGCCCCCCAGGCCCTGCACAACCTGTCCCGTCCCCTCCCCGCCCTCCCTCCTCCCTCCTCCCTCTCTCCCCCTCGCTCCCTCTGCTACAGCCACACGGGCTCCTCATTCCTCTAACATGCCAGGCGAGGTCCTGCCCCAGGACCTTTGCACGTGCTGTGCCCTCTGTCTGGACAGCTAACTGCTCCCCTCTCCAGATCACCCAGATCTCAACTCAAACCCCCCTCTCAGAGAGATCCTCCCCGAGCCCCTTGGCTTCAAGCAGCCTCAGCCACGATTGATCGGCATCCTCTGTGTTATTTCCTCCAGGGGAAGTTAGTGATTGCCTATGTGTTTGCTTAGTTGCTTAGCAACCACAGATGTGTTTGCTTCTCTCTCCTCGTGGAATGCCACCCCCCTGAGGGAGGGCCAGGGGTTTTGTCTGTCTTGATCACCACTGTGTCCTCGGTGCCTAGGACAGGACCTGGTACACAGTAGGGGCTCCACAGACATTTGTAGGAAAAAAGAAGGGAGAGAGAGAGGGATAAGGCAGAGGCGAAAAGAGAAACTAGAGAGACGGTATTTCAGGGACGAGGAGGAGGAGATGAGATGGAAGGGAGGAGGGAACGGCCAGTGGGTGAGGGCATTCTGGTTGGAAGGGCGGCTCGGGGAGGCCGGATGGTTCCGGGAGGTTCGCGGCCCGGCTGCTCCTCACGGCCCTCTGTGACCCCGAGGCCTCCTGGGCGCCTCCCTCGGAGCCAGATGTTCCGGGCAGGCGTGGCGGTGCCACGGCTCCCGGGGGAGCTGCAGCGTCTGGCGGAGGAGATCACTTCCTCCCCGCCCGCCAGGGAGTCCCCTGGAGATGGAGCCCGAGGCTGCACAACAGGAAACCCCGCTGGGGAGGGCGGAGGCCCGACACACCAGCTGGCCAGCTGGGCCGGCAGGAAACAGGACGGCCACTTCCCCTGGACACTGGGACCACCGCCCTGGCCTCCCGGGGCCCCAAGCCCCCCACGTGGGCTGGGCGGGTAGTAATTGCTCAATAAAGGGACGGGCAAAGCTGGTAACCCGGGAGGCCGAGGGTCTTGGACCAGCCCAGGCTTGGGGCTGGGACAGCTGGTGGCCTGGTCCCCGCGGTCCGTGCTGCCCCCTGGAGGCCCGGAGAGGAACTGCTCCCACCCCACCCCCCACAGCTGAGAGCCGGTCCCACCTCCTGTCTGCCCACTCTCCCCGGCTCTTCTGCTCCCGCCCTGTCGGCCTCCAGTTTGCCAGGTGCATTCCAGCCCCGGGGACTTTGCACGGGCTGCCCTCGCTGCGGGAACATCGGGGCCCCCGAGGAGGTGGCCAAACGTCACGTTTAAGATCATCCTGATGACAGTGGCCGACCGCGTGGGGTGCTTCCCGGTGCAGATGTGGTTCCTGGCACTTCCCGCATTTGACCGCATGTGTGCCTCGTCTCCGCCCCGACCGTGAGGTCCTGGTAGACCGTCACCCTCCCGGCGAGGCCGGCGCAGAGCCCTTTGGATAAAATAGGTCCCCTCCCCAGTGGGCTCCCCCACCCCACCTCTGTTTGACTTTTAACCGTATTAAAATTTACAGTTCAGGGGCATTAATTACACTCACTGTGTTGTGCACCATCACTCTGTCTAGTTCCAGAACATTCCATCACCCCAAAAAGAAACCCATCTCCATGAGCAGTCTCTCCCATCCCCAGCCCCAGCCCCTGACAACCACAAACCCACATTCTGTCTGTGGATCTGCCTGTTCTGGACATTTCACATCAATGGACTCACACACCATGTGTCCTTCTGTGTCTGGTTCTCTCACTGAGCGTCATGTGTTCGGGGTCCGTCCACGGTGTGGCTGTGTCAGGGCCTCACTCCTCTTCATGGCTGCATCATACTCCAGTGTGTGGAGGGACATGTTATATGGATCCGTCATCCAATGGTGCACAGTCGGCCATTCCTGGTTTGGGCTGTCGTGAATCACGCTGCTGTGAACACGGGTGCACAGATTTCTTGACTTATTGATCTTATGTGGCCTCCTGCGCCCGCAGCGCACTGTGTGTCCCAGGAGGGCAGCCACTTCTGTCTGTCTTGTTCCCAGCGAGGTCCTGGGGGAGTGGGTCCTGCCTGTGAGGGCTCTGGGGGCGGGACAGGCCTGCTCCGAGCTGTCTGAGGCTGGCCAGGGCTCCCACCCTCTGGGAGCCACCCTCAGTTTCCAAATCCATGAAATGGGTCCAAACCACCCCATCCCGGAGAGGAGGGTCCCTCTTCCTTTAACATTAGGCAGGAGTGGTTCTGGGGACACGGGATGTTAACTGGTGCCCGTGGACCCTCCATTCGGCCCGCAGTTCTGAGCCCCCGCTGTTTGCCGGGCTCTGGTCGAGGCCCTGGGGACACCGCAGGGCCTGGGCAGAGACACGCCGGCCCTCCTGGAGCTCCCACTCTGGAGGGAGAAGGATGCGAAACTACAGTGTCACGGGGGTGATCAATGATGGAAAGAAAGCCAGCCGGCCCCTCCTAGGAAGTCAGGTTCATATCTCACAGCAACCCAGATGAGGGGGTGCGTGGTCCCCACTTGCCACATTAGGGAACATCGAGGCTCAGGGAGGGGAAGTGAGTTGCCCAACATCCCACGCCAAGTGGGCCACGGAGCCGGGATTGGTCCAGCCTCCACTGGCCTGTGCAGCCTGCCACAGCGAGGGGGGCCCCAGAGGAAGGCGAGGCTGGATAAGGGGCCCACCTGGAGGCCTCCCTGGAGGAGGGGAGACTGGCTGAGGCCGCATGGAAAAGGATGGAGGAGACGCTCAGACAAGAACGTCTGCTCCAGCAGTGTGAGGGCGGAGGGACTCCCCCAACGGACTAGGGGGGCTTTAGCTGGCCATCCCCTGGCTGCAGGGCTGCAGACGGGGGACGGGGTGACCCCCCAGGCTGGGTCCAGCCCCCGAGCCTGGGCAGCCCGGGGTGTCGGGGACGGAAATGGACCCGGCTCAGCAGCCGCCCGCTGACCCTGCACTCCTCTCCCTGCTCCAGACACGACCGACTTCCAGGAGAGCTTCGTCACCTCCGGGGTGTTCAGTGTCACCGAGCTCATCCAGGTGTCCCGGAGTGAGTGTCCCCACCCACCCTACGCTGGGGCCCAGAGAGGGGAGGGGCTCGGGGAAGAGGAAGGAGCCCATCCCCCATCCCCCTCGTCCTCTGCAGCCACCCGTCACCACGCCAGGGTTCCTGGGAAGGGCGGCATCCAGGCCCCTCCCAGAGCCTAAGGTCAGGGTGACACGTTCCTCCCCGGAAACAGGCTCCAAATGCTGAGTGGAGGAGGCTGAAGGAGCTGGGGCCTCCCTCGTCCCCCCCAGAGGGCCCACCCCCACCCACTCTGCTTCCTGTCCCCTTGCCCTCCCTATGGGCCTGCTGGGGACTCACTCCGCTCCCCCAGACACCCCCATTTGAACCCCGCCCCAGGGAGCTCTGGGCACTGCCCCGCCTTATCCCCGACCACCGCCCTCCCTGCCCAGATCAGCAGAACCTGGCTCCTGGGAGTGCCGGGAGCTCGGCCTCCAGCTCTGGCTACGCCTCCGCCTCACAGCGTGACCTTGGCCTCCCTCGACGGCCTTGGTCTTCTGATCCGTAGAATGAGGCCAGTTTCCGCCAAACCAGGAACCAGGCCAATTTGAGAAGGGGTTCCCCTTTGAACAGACAGCCCCAGACAGCTCTCCCCACCCCTCCCAGGCAGACTGCTCCCTCCCTCATTCCCCTCTTTGTCGCCCCCTGCAGCGCCAGTGGTGACTGGAACAGGACCCAACTTCTCCCTGGGGGAGCTGCAGGGGCACCTGGCGTACGACCTGAATCCAGCAAGCACCGGCATGAGAAGAACGCTACCCAGCACTTCCTCCAGTGGGTAGGTGCTGCTCCCCACCTCCACCTGGGGCATTTCACAACCCCTCACCCACCTCCATCTGGGCCCAGCTAGTTCATTCCTCTCCCTGTTATGCCTGTTTTCATGTTCCACTTGGAAAACTCCTATTCATCCTTCAAAACCCAGCCCCAAGTGCCCCTTTTCTCAGCCCTGAGACCCACTCTGGGCTCCCACAGCCTTTAGTCCCACGTGCCCAGCCCTTGACACTGCATGAGAATGCAGACACCAGTTCTTGCTGAGATAGGCCATGTGACTGTGACCTGGTCACCTTGCATTTGCCTCAGTTTCCTCATCTGTAAAATGGGGTCAGAATCCCACCGGGTTCTTGAGGATTATACTAGGCCAAGTGGTCAGCCAGGCCTTCAGGGCTTTGGTGTCCACCCTGCTGGCTTGCTGTGTGACCTCGGCTGGGTCCCTCATGCCTCTGCCCCCAGGTGTCCCATCAGAGCAATGGGCAGGATGGAACAGGTGTTAACTGAGACCCAGCTCTTGCGTGAGGTCTCGCGATAGCGCTCTCCCTGCCCCGCCCCCTGGGAACCGGAAGTAGCAACGCCCGCCCCGCCCCCCTGCGTCTCCGTGGTAACCGGCCTGCGCTCTTCCTCCCTCGCGCCTTAGGAGCAAGCGGCATAAATCGGGCTCGATGGAGGAAGACGTGGACACGAGCCCCGGCGGCGATTACTACACCTCGCCCAGCTCTCCCACGAGTAGCAGCCGCAACTGGACAGAGGACATGGAAGGAGGTAGGGCTGGCGGCGGGGGCGGAGCCGGCCTTCCGGTCGCTCGGGGGAACCGCGGCGGGGACTACGTGTTCCGGCAGGCACTGCGCAGGCGCCGGCGAGCGGGCGGCCGGCCCGGAGCCGCGGGGCTTCCTGGGAATTGTAGTCGCGAGGGCTGCGTGCGCTTGGAAGTCAAGTCTGGATTCGCGATCCCGGAGCTCTTTGGTTCCGCTCGGGCTGGGGAGGGCGCAGACAATCCCTCGCCCAGATTTCCTGCCCGTTTCCTTTTAGGGTTTCATCTCTGTGGCGTTGCTGATCCACAGAACTTACTCAGCAGCGACTCTGAGCCACAGGGGGCTTCTTCCTGGGGTCTGCCATAGACTCTGATCTATAGGATCCCAGCTGGAGGGTCCTGAGATGTAGGATCCCTTTTCATTAGGGTCCTCCTTGGAGTGAGTCCCGTTTTCCGAGATTCCCATCCCCATGGGGTCTTCCTCCCTGGAGTCCAGATCTGCAGGAGCCCCGTCTCTTTCCGAACAGCGGCCTCTTCCAGGGCGATTTTGTTCTGTTGCTCTTCTAGGGTCTGCCCCAGAGCATCTTTTTCATTGTCTCCCCCAATTTTATAAGCATCACCTTGTCCTGTCCCTTCTCCCTTTTCGAGGGTTCACCCCACGGCACAGCCTGGTGGCTACAAACGTGGGATCTGAGGTCCACCAGCCCTTACGGCTTCTGGTGGCGCCTGCCAGCTCTCTGAGCCTCAGTTTCCTCATCTGTAGAATGGGGGTGTTGATACCAGTGGTACCCACCTTATAGGGTTGTTGTGGGGACTGAGTTAATATCCTTGGTGTCTCTAAAACAGGCCTGGCACGTAATAAGCACCCCGTAAACCCTAGGGCTTGTTTTTTCTTCCCTCCTCCTCTCTCCCTCCTCCCTGTCACCACAGGGCCTGCTTTCTTATAAAGATCTGTCTACACAACATCCCGCACCTACAGGATTCTTGAAAAGCGGTATAGCACTACAATTAAGAGGGCAGGGTCAGGCGTGGGAGAGACCTGGGTTCGAATCCCAGCTCTGCCGTGGACTTGCTGTGTGGGCTGTGTGACCTTGGGCAGGCGACTTGACTTCTCTGAGCCTCGGTTTCCTCGTTTCCAAAATGGGAGTGATGAAGTAACTCTTCTTTTGGGGCATTAGAGGGAGGAAAGGGTAGGATGTGCGTAAAACAGCCGAATGTGCCCAGGAAAGGGGAGAGCTTATTGTTAGTCGTGTCTTTATAAAACTCCCATCTCTTTGAATCGGTCTCTAGTGCATCTGGTTATGACATTTGAGGTCCCAAGGGTCTCCCTCTTCCACAGTTAGCAGGCACCTAACTCAGGGAGATCTGTCTCTCGGTTTATTAGGCTCTAATTTATGGGTCAGAGTGTCTCTGTGGTTCTGTCTCTGTGGATTCCCCATCTCTGTCAGGTTTTTCTCTATAAAGACCATGTATTCAGTAAGCTTTAAGTTTGATTGTGAGAAACAGAAACCCCAAAAGGACAGTGTATTTCTCTCGCAAGTAAATGTCCAGCCATCAGCAGCCCTGGACAAGTAGGACGTGAGGGATGTAGGCTCCATCCTTATGCTCCCCCGAGCGTGGTTTCCATTCCCACCTCGTGGTCCAAGATAACTGCTGGAGTGCCAGCCATCATGCCTGCGTTCCGGCCAGCAGGGAAGAAGAACGGTCAAGTCTGGGCATGTCCTCTCCCTTTAAGAATAACTCTCAGAAGCTGCACTTACCTTTTCTGCTTATCTCTGTGCCCCCGAGTTAGTCATGTGGCCATCCTCTGCTGCAAGGGACGCTGGGAGTTGTAGTCTTGTTTTGGGCAGTTGTGTGCCCGTTTCAAATTCAAGGGTCCTGTGACTAAGGAAGGGGAGGAGAGCAGATCCACCTCTCAGGAAGGCTGCGCTTGAAGGGCCTGTCCTGTGTAAAGGGTGTCCTGCTGAGAGCGGAAGTTGGCCCCTTTGATGGAGCCACGGCAGCCCTCAGAGGCCAAGTGATAGCCTGAAGGCTGTGGACTAGAAAAAGGGAAAGGCTGCGGACCAAGAACCAGCTTCCACATCAGGAGGCTCAGAAAAGGAAAACTTAAGAAGGAAGGAAATGTTAGGGAGTCCCCAGGGCTGGGTCTGAACTTCCTGCCCTGGAGTGAAGCGGTGGCAATGGGGGGCGGGACAAGGAGGGACCCCCTAGCAGCCGCTGGCATGAGATGAGGCGTCCCAGAGCTGGAAGGGAGTGTCTGAGGGGGTCTGTCCCCTCTGCCTCCACTTGGTTACCCCGGGTGATGGTAAACTCACTCCCTCCTGAGGGCTTCGTCCTCAGGGTGGGCCTGTCCCTGCCTTCCGGGGGCTCACTGCCAGGTGGGGGGATGGATTCGGATCTCCTCGTCCTCCTCGTCCCCCCGCCTCTTCTCCCTTCTCCTCCTGCTCCCCCCGCCCCCCGGCTTCCTCCAGCTTCCTGTCTAGACAGCCACCAATTAGTTGCTCATTAAGGGGGTTAAGCTGATTACAGTGCTCCCCCTTCCTCTGTGGTGGCCGCCACGGCAGCGCTCAGCTCAGCCCGCACCCCCGGCAGCCACGCCCCAGTGCCGGGAGGGGCAGAGGCCTGGGGGGATCGAGCCAGCCCCACCTGGGCAAGACCCCCGCGGCCAGCCCCAGGCCTTTGCCCGCTCCCTTTCCAGAGCAGGAGTGCCCTTTCCCCCCCGGCCACCTCCTCCCAAGGCCTTCCCTGATTACCTCCCCCAGTCGAGGGCACCTTCTGCTCAGCTCCCAGAGTGCTTTGCTCTCGCCACTTCTGTGGCCCTCCCACAGGGGACACAGCCCCCCCACGGGCAGTCATAATACGGGATGAAGCAGGCAACTCCCGTCTCCCTCCTCTGTCCCCCGGGGGCTTCCCCCGTCTCTTTTTGGACTCGGGGGCAGGAGGGTGGCCCGTGGGCTTCCAGAGGGGGGTTGGAGCCCCAGTCCCCCCACGTCTTGGCTCTGTGGCCCGGGCAAGTGACGCCCCCGTCAGGCCTCAGTCTCCACATCCGTGAAATGGGGGTGACCCCGTAGCCCCTGCCTGGGACGGTTGTGGGGTGATGTGAGAGCAGGCTCAGACTTGCAGGGGGTCCGTTCTGCCCCCAGAGGACACCAGCCTGTCTGGGGACACCGGTGGCTGTCACACTGGGGGTGCTCCCAGCATCGAGTGGGTGGAGCCAGGGATGCTGCTCAGCCCCCCGCAGAGCCCAGGACGGCCCCCAGAGATGACCGGGCCCCTGTGTCCCAGTGCCGAGGGGCACCGTCCTGCTCCCCGGATGACGGCCGTCCTCAGCAGAGCCCTGCGTGCCCCTCCCGTGGGCGGCTCTGTGTCCCGGGGCCCTGGGGACCCGCGGACAGCTGGAGGGCCCGCCCGGTGGAGCGGCCTCCCCGCGGGGACGGGCTCGTTTGTGGGAAAAGGATGGGGGCTCGGGTGGGGGACACACGGGCCTGCGTGTCACGTGGCGAGTCTGTGCTTAGACGGGGGACACACAGGCGTCGGTCAGCCAGACGGCCGTCGCTCCAATGGAGGATTCCGGCGTGTTGGCTGAGCACACGGGATGCTCCAGCGGGGCGCACAGCCGGGGCCCTCCAACCCACCCGGGGCCCCCCGCCCCGATCCCGCAGGCCCGGCTCAGGAAGCTCCGGCCGTGGAGACGCGGCGGGCGGGTCTGCCCGGCTATTGCCATCAGGACAGGCTGTTCTGGGAAAGCTCCCGGGTGAGCAGGGCCGGCCCTAACCTCGTTCCCGCACACGCGCACACACACACACACAGACACGCACACGCGCACACCGTCTACACGGCCAGCCTCCTCCCCGCCCATTCCACGGGAGGGCCTGGCCCCGGTGCCCTGACCCTCTGGTCCCCACAGGCATCGCGTCCCCCGTGAAGAAGACAGAGATGGACAAGTCGCCCTTCAACAGCCCGTCCCCCCAGGACTCGCCGCGCCTCTCTAGCTTCACCCAGCACCACCGGCCCGTCATCGCCGTGCACAGCGGTGAGCACCCCGGGCCCTCTGATCGGGCCCCCTGTGGCCAGGGAAGTCCCACTGGCCGTCTGACCACGAGTCCCATTGCTGAAGCCTCCCAGCTGGCCTAGAAAACTTGGAGCTGCCATGGTGGAGGGCGCCCGGGCCTGACCAGTCTCTGGGTCCTCAGTTTCCCCTTCTGAACAAGAAGGAGTCGCAGCTGGGGGTTTGCCCGTTGATCTGCTCCCCTTATGTCACACTCAAGAGACCCACAGACAGACCACGGGGTGGGGCGGTCTCAGAAGGAGGTGGACACGCCCGACGTGTGGCCAGACACGCACAGGCCACGCAGTGTTACCCAGAGCCCCCGGCCCTCATTGGGTCAGCTGTCCTTTGGGCTCATAAATGTCCCCTCTGGGGCCATCCTGGGGACTGAATGAGTTAAGTCGTGATAAGAGCTGGAATACCGCCTGGTACCCCGTTATTAGGATGGTGACGACTTAGTTCCCTACACGGGCAGACACACACACGGGCAGCAATCAAAACAGCACAGTCGTTCAGACCAGGAGCCGGCAGACCGGGCCCTCGGCGCCTGTTCTTGTAAATAAAGTTTTATTGGCACAGGGCCACGCCCACCATTTACATGTCATCTGTGGCAGCTCGAGGGCTACGAGGGCAGAGTTGAGTGGCTGCAACAGAGACCAAATGGCCCCCAAAGCCCAAAATATTTACTGTCTGGCCAGGGGCTGGAGAGAGAGAGGAAGGGGGAGTGACTGCAAATGGACACAGGGCTTGTTTTAGGGGGATGAGAATGTTCTGGAGTTACAGAGTGAATATGCCAAGTCACTGAGTTGTTTAGAAAAAAAAAAAAAAGCAAATAGGGCAATGGAATATTATGCAGCCATGAAAAGGAGGGAAGCCCTGACACAGCCACACCCTGGACGGACCCTGAACACACGACCCTCAGGGAGAGAACCAGACACAGAAGGACACACGGTGTGTGAGTCCATTGACGCGAAATGTCCAGAACAGGCACATCCACAGACAGAGAGTGGGTTCCTGGTTGTCAGGCGCTGGGGAGGGGATGGGGAGTGACTGCTTGTGGGGACAGGGCTTCTTTTTGGGATGATGAAAATGTTCTAAGAGAGATTGTAGTGATGGTTGCACAGCTCCATGAATGGGCTAGAAATCAGTGAATCATACGCTTTAAAAGAATGAATTTTATAGTATGCACATTATATCTCAATTTTTAAAAAAATATTGACTGCCAGGCTCTCTATGGAAAGAGCTAGCTGCGCCCGAATTAGAGTCTGGGCCATAGGGCCAGATGGCCTGGGCTCGACCCCTGGCTCTGCCTCCTGCTTGCCGTATGGCCTGCGACAGGGGTCGTGACCTCTGAGAGCCACCAGGTCATTCTCTGTTTAAAAACAAAACCAAACCGGGGGGTTGTACTGAAGCCCGTGGGGTTAGAGTGGAAGTCGGTGACTTGGGGCGCGTGGATGACAGCGCAGCCTGGCCCGCGGCGGGCTGTGGTTATGATTCCGTGCACACGCTGACCGCCCCCCCGCCCCGTGTCCGCAGGGATCGCCCGGAGCCCCCACCCGTCGTCGGCCCTGCACTTCCCCACGACCTCCATCCTGCCCCAGACGGCCTCCACCTACTTCCCCCACACGGCCATCCGCTACCCGCCTCACCTCAACCCCCAGGACCCGCTCAAAGATCTCGTCTCGCTGGCCTGCGACCCGGCCAGCCAGCAGCCTGGACCGGTGAGTTCTGGGGCCCTGATGCTTCGCTCGGGCGGCCCCCCGCCGGGCAGCCTCGGTTTCGGGCGGCCATGCGTTGGTGGACGGCGGGGCCCCGCTCCCCCGTCGGAGGCGCCTGGAGCCGGGCTCTTTCTGGTGTTGGCACTGACGGCACGTGCTTTACGAGACGCCCGAAATCAACACGGGCCCGGGGCCGCGGCTCAGGCCGGCTCTGCAGGGTTGCACCGGAGGCTTTGGGTGCTCGGGGCCGTTGGGATTTCGGCACTGTGGGCGAGGCGGTTGAGGAGAAGGTCCCGGTGAAGGAGACAGAGTGGCCGGGCCCCCGTGGGGTCCAGGCACGTTGGCATCACGCAGACGGAGAGAGAGTGGGTATCCGGCGGCCGAAGGAGGAGAGGACGGGCGCGCGGTCCCAGGATGCTGGGGCCCGCGGGCATCCGTGGTACCCACCAGACCCGTCCCGGGCGCCCCAGATCCTCCCCGGCCGGCGGGGCCGCGGACGGCAGCCCGAGGCGGAGGGGGCGCCGGCCGCCTTAACCACGTGTCTCTCTGTTCCCCCCAGTTGAGTGGAAGTGGTCAGCTCAAAATGTCCAGTCACTGCCTTTCTGCTCAGATGCTGGCTCCCCCGCCCCCCGGGCTGCCGCGGCTGGCGCTCCCCCCCGCCGCCAAAGCCACCTCCGAGGGAGGAAGCTCGTCGCCGACCTCGCCCTGTAAGCACCCGGGAAGCGGAGCCCGTGGCAGGGCGGGCGTCCCCGAGGGGCCCCTCCCCTCCCCAGCCCCGCCGCCGGGGCTCAGGCCCCGCCTGGTGCGCCCTGGCGAGTTCGGTGGGTCCCCAGATGGAGGCCTGGGGGCCACGTGGTCAGGTCCACGCAGCCTCAGGGCACGGCAGGACGAGCCGCCTCTGTGTCGTGAGCAGCTGGCAGTAGATGAGGATCTCAGACTGGTGGCCTGAGGGCCAGACGCGGCCCCCAGACACCTTTTGTTTGTGGAAGATGAGAATCTGTTGTTTCAAAATCAGTTCATTTCCCATAAAAATTCCAGAGTTCTGGATTCTCGGGAAAAAACGGCCTCCCTGAGCTCTCTTCCAGCTGGTGACCTGGGCTGGGCCACAGCTTAGACAGGACTGTACCTACCTGCCCACTTGGCCTTCTAGAACTTTCTGCCCTCTGGATGTGGTTCCAGGTGGTAGCCTGGCGGAAGGCCCTGGGTTGGTCTCCTCACCTTCTAGAACTTTCCACCCTTTGGATGTGGCTCCAGATTATAGCTTGTTGGCCCCTCGTGCACCCCAGTCGGGGGCTGCACCAGGCTGGGAAGCGGCTCCCGGATCCCCGTCCTGGGGTCCACCCCATCAGTGGTGGCCGTGAGCCCAGCCTCTCCCTGGACCCCCGAGCAGGCTGGGGTGGGCCGTCCACGCTCCGCAGGCTGCCTCGCTCTGGGCCGACCCCATCCTCCCAGCGCCCGGGGTGTCCCGCGTCCTCTAAGGCCGAGCCGCCCCACTCGGGGGCCCCGGGCAGACGATCCCAGAGCCCCCGGACCTCTCCCCGCCGTCTCGATCTGCCCTCGCCCCCTTCGTGAGTGTCTCTCCCTCGCTCCCCGATGAGATTCCTCCCCCCGCCGAGCAGGAGGGGCCGCCGTTCCACCTGGGCTCCGTCGCCCCCTCCCCACGGGCAGCACCCCCGCCCCCAGCATCTCCCCCCGCGTCCACTGCCGAGACCCAGGGCAGCTGCCCGTGCTGACGGGCTTCGTCTGGACACCAGGCACAGTGCGGGGTGCTGGGTTCCAATGCTGTGTGACCTCGGGCAACTGTCCTCCCCTCTCTGGGCCTCAGATTTCTCAGCTGAAAATGGCACGATCGAGCACCCACCACGCGGGCGGTGGGGGGTGAGTCGGTGAGCTCGACCAGGGAGGCCGTCGAGTGTGACATCAGGGGCACAGCGGAGTCGGTGTGTGATGTTGATGGTCACCTGTCTGCCTGCTTTGTCATCTGTGGAATGGGACAAAATCATGTTTGCTGCGTTGAGGCCACGGAGGGTTAAGTGGGGTTATGCCCGGTGCCTGGCATACAGTAGGCACTTAATAGATGTGGCACAGACACGGATTCCTTCTCCTTCCCTTGCACCG